TTCAAGTAAATTTCTCAAGGAAACAAAAGTAGGTTAAAGGGAGATTGGAACTTTGCATACTCGAAACTTTTTTTAAACAACGGGTACCCTGTTGATTTACCATTTTGTCTTAAGTTTTATAAAAAAGGTTGAACCTTTTCAAAACGCGTTTATTGTAGCTTGTAACAATGGATGGAAACATTATCAGTCATCTTGTTATAAGTACTCAAACCATCACAGAAGATGGACTGATGCTGAAGATCTTTGTCAGAGGGACGGAGCGCATCTCGCGAAAATTACCAGCAGGAAAGAACAAGATTTTGTCTTTAGCCTTGGTGTTCATCAACCTTTTCAAATCTGGATCGGTTTGCGGGCGCAAGGACCTTCAGGAAAATTCACTTGGGCAGACGGATCGCCACTTGGCAATTTTACTTTCTGGTCAGCGGGTGAGCCCTCTCCAGATCCTGACGTTTGTGCGGAAATGATTCGTAATGATGGTCAAGGGCGGTGGCAAACTGGCCAGTGTACAACGAGACACAGTTCATATGTGTGTGAGAAAGGTCTGTGTAACTGAAGTGTGTTGATACAGTCATAAGAAATATCTAGAAATGCTATAAATATAATGGTAACTCGTCTCTTTCAAATATCGCGACTAGATACATGAAATGAATGGTCGGTCTGAAGATATAAAGCGAAGTGTCCATTGAAAACATATTTTGATTTTACTATTGCTAGATCGCAATACATTTTGATAACAAATGGCTGCAGAAAAAAACGATTTCAGAAAGCCCGCTCCCAATCCCAAAGAATCCGCTTGAAAGATATTTCTTGCGTTGCAGAGAGAGCATGTAACATCACGGGAGCGAGTGGTGATTGCAAGACTGATTTTGGTGAGTTTTGATAACATTGCTACAAAGTATTTAAAACTTTCGATTAATCAAAAGAGAGCCCAAACCAAGTAAAAGTGTATAAATTTTACACAAAACCTTACAGATCACATGACACGGGATACAACTGTAAATGCCACTTTTCCTTCTTCTTCTTCTTCTTCCAGTAAGTCTTTTGATCGACGGTAAAGTTCTCGAGCTTAGTATAAGATCAAGCGCACATTAGCAACATTTATTTGCCATTGCGTTGCTCCATATTCTCCTGACTTCATAAAATTTAACTGTGCATGTGAACCCTTTGGTATGAAAAAGTAATACCAATACCAAGCCATAGTGCTTTAGTAGCTAAATTCCTATAGTACAGGACCCCACTGTTGAAAAGTCATACCTGCTAGATCTGCTCCAACTTATCTTTAAAAAGTAAACTATAACTTACTTATTGTAAACTGCACCTGACTTTTGTTTATTTTGATGTTGTGCTGCTTCTTTAAAGAAAAACCGCCGCTCATGAAGTCTTTCCCACGCGAAGAGATCATCTCAGCACAGTATGAAACTAGCGTGACGGTGCAGTGTGAAGCATCTGGTTTTCCGAGACCCACAGTCACGTTTCTTATTAACGGTGTAAATTCGTACGCTGTGAACAAGGGTCACACAATCATGGAACCTTACAAAACAACTGTCACGTATGTTGTGACAATGCCGTCTGACGTGGAATGTCACATCTCCAACAGAATGGGTAACACCTTTTGGAGAATAAAAGTGAATTTAAAAGGTAAATCATTTAATAAAAAGTTCAAAAGCCGTGTGTGAATGAGGTATATGTTTAGAGTTCACCATTTTAGTATCAGTTTCTATGGAAACTCTTTGAAAAGTCTTCATGAGAAAGGAATCGTGGTATCGAGAAATCAGATTTTTCCGATAGATTGAAATATGTTGTGTACGTTTTCCACACCGTGTGATTTTTGAGCGATGATCGTCATAAATCAAAGCGAACATGGTTTTCAATTTTTTTTTTTCGACAGATGACGACCCGTCATTTCTCAAAGCTGTCTTAAGATTAACGGATGAGACTTTCACGTCTGACCTCAATGATCCTTTGTCTGAAAAATTCAAGACACTGTCAGCCTGGCTGGAGAATATTCTTATGTCTTTATACACAGAAGTACATGGTTTCAGAGATGTAGAAGTTGTAAGATTCAGGTAATTTCAGCACAAATTTTGATCTTAGTCTTTGAAACTCGGTTACAGCATGCTGTATGATTAAGATTTTTAAATCTTATATAATTTGGTCCATCATTGTAGAAACGGAAGTGTCGTAGTAGATGTGCTCCTGACTGCCGCGAAAGGAGGTTCGTCAGTTGTTCAAAACAAACTCCTTGAAGTTATGGGCTCAAATCAATTACAAAATGTTACAGTTGACTCGTTTGGCGTCGTTAAAGGTAAGGTATATCTATTTCTCGAGGATTGAGAAATTAGACAGAAATCTAATGATTTTTATTTGGGAAAGTGAAACTTTGCAACGTTCTCTGTTGTTGCTGTTGTTTTCCAAAGTTAACACCGCCTCTCCATTTTAACGATGTAGAATTCGGTTTCAAAGAACATACGTAGCCAAGAGATTTCATAGGTATTTTTAGGATATGTTTTATTAAACAAGCTTGAAGTAAAGATAGTTGGATAATGGCCACCTTTGAGTTTTTCAACAGCGCCGAACGAGAACGAGTCTAATATGCACCGATCTTTACTTCATACTTGGTTAATTTAGGATCTATTATATTGCCAAACAGTGGCTTTTGTAGGGGCAATACTGTGACAGAAAAGGTCCAGTTAGGCCCTTGCTGGGTAGCCAATAGGAATGCTAGCTGCAGGATCCCCTCGTCTTACTTCAGCTTCCAGGGTCAGACACTTTATAAAGGTGGTTTTGAAAGCATTGTACTTACACGTTTTTCCTCAGCGTGTCCAAAAGAATTTTTTAACGTATCTTGGAGTGGAACTTTTGAGGGAGAGTTTGCCACGCAGAACTGTCCCAGAGGAGCAGCGGGTGAGTCAAATAGCGGCAAAATCAGTGGAATCATTCAGAAAGTGTCAAGGGAGTATTACAAAGACACCTAGTTTAACCAGAGCGTTCTATTACCCAAAAAAAGCGGGTTACCCTGAATTCGGTTCAGAAGAGAATCCCACACGACATTAACAGACATGTTATTTGATGATTTAAAAATAGTGACACTATGGTGAACTCGTGGATATACAGTGCAGAATATAAGTCAAGTTATATCGACATGGATTACTCGTTCATATGCTTCGCATATCCACGAGTTAAAAAGTAGAACTTTCCTTTTCAAACAGACACTTCTATCCATGGAAAAGTTTCCCTATGCTTGGCCTGAGGGCGTCTCTTGAGTGAAGGTTTCACTTTAAAAGACAT